CTGCTGTGAAAGGGCACAGGCATTTCCCCCAACCCACGGAAGTCCAGGATCTCACTAAGGTCTGCCACCTCGTCCGAGAAAAGGAAGAGCCGCCACCTGCCGGGCCTTGCTGGCACCACCAACACGGCCACACGCGGCCCACCCCCTCCAAGAGGGAAGCCCTGGCGTGCCCTGCTATGCCCCCCCTCCTCACGGAAAGCAGCCTCTGCCTGGAGCAGCCCCAGGCAGGCAGGCTTTGAAGGGCGGCTTTTCCTAGCCCAAGGAGTCGATTTCACAAGAGCCAAGATCCACAGGCGCCAGGGCTGACGCTCTGCTTGGATAAAGGAGCCCCGCATGGCAGCCCCAAGACTGCGCCCCCCCCGGTGGCCCTTGCCAACCACCGTCCATCGTCACTCCTGGAACGGCACCCTTTCAAGGCTTCCAGCAGCCTCTCCAGCACTGACGGCCACCCATGTCAGGTGGACGGGTGCCACCACCCCTCCTATTAGGGAGCCCCGTGGCCCTTCCCTGGCTCAGGCAGGCTCCGAACAGCTGAAGAAGCATCTCCTCGGAGGGAAGGGCCGGCGTCCCACTTCCACACGCACCTTGAGAATTTTCACCACCACTTTCTCGTTGTTGGTGATGTTGATGGCTTCAAAGACCTCGCTGTATTTGCCTCGGCCGAGCTTCCGCACCAGCTGGTAGTCATCTTGGTTGCTGCGGAGGATGATGCACGAGGGAGGAGAGGAGAGCCAAGTCAGTGGGCTGGCTGCCTCTGCTCTGAGCGCTGGCCTCCGGCATCCCCATCTCCAGGGAGGAGGGAGGTTTGCAAGGCGCCCCCGTCCTGTCTGCCCTCAGGGCCAGACCGGCAGCCCTTGGATGCGGCAAGACCCCAGATCCCCCCCTCCCCAACTATTCTTCCAATTCCTCACAAAAAAAGGCAATGTGTTCTGCAACCCCCACCATCCATCCACTCGAAATCTGCCCCCACAACCTAACTATATGTTTACATCTCAAAAGACGTTTGGGAGCATTAACCCAAAATTCATCTTGGGTTAATTGGCTAGCCCGTGAGTGATTATCCCCAAACCCTTCTGGCTGAATGGGAATCGGAAGCTGGGTGTTTAGTGGTGCTGAGAGGGGACGGCACCCACCAGACGTGAGAGAAGGGCCAGGACCACGGACAGAGATCTGCGCATCTTTCCAAAAGGCGGCCGGTGGGCTCCCTCTTCACTCACCCAGGACGGGCAAGGGCTGGCAAGAGGCTGAGGGTCTTCTGCCCCAGCGGGAGCCCCCGGGCACAGCCGGCCCATCGTGTGGGCTCTTCAGCTTTCCAATCAGCCCGTTCGGTCCACCCTCTGTCCCTGACTGGAGCTCCTCACCCAACCTCGGTCTCAGGCCAGCTCTCTCCTGGTCCATGGACGGGGCCTTCGAGTCTACCCTTCTCCTGAGGCTCGGNGGACAGACCCTGGGCCTGTATTGCAAGCGCCCTGCCCTTTTGCTGCAGGAAAGGGCATTTGGGGTGTGGGAGACCCCTGAAACCTGCAAGGTGCTAGCACATCCTGCAAGACCTCGTTGGGTGGGCCACACAAGGGCCTGTGGGCATAAAGGAGCAAAATTACAGTACGGCCGCTGCCGTTTCAAGCTCTGGGCGCCGGCCCTTTCGCCCTTCCTTCCCTCCCTCCCTCCCAAAGAAGGCTTGAAGAACCCCAGGGTGTGGGTGGCGAAGGAACCCGGCGCTCAAACTGTGAATCTGGCCCTTTTCAAACCCAGCGCCTCTTACCCCCATTCCACAACGTGCGACTCGTAGTCCCAATACTCGCGAGGCCTCTGGGTGTTCACATCTGCATAGACTCTTGCTCGGCTTGGCACTGGGCCCGACATGCTGCCCCAGTGTGCTGGTCAGCACCTCGACCGCTCTGAAACAAAACACACGTCACCCCAAGCCCATTCCCGACCCAGAAGGGAACCACAGGTATTCAGCCCACCCGCCAAGGGGCAGGGAAGCAGGAGATCCCACCACCCGCAATGGACCAAACCAGGAAAGACCCCCCAAAACCTTTGGCTTGGCGGGGGGGGCAGCAATAATGGAGAGAAAGCATGAAACATCTGCTTGCAGTATTCTTTTTTTTTCATTTTTTACAGTTTGTAAGAAGCCAGGCAGTGTTTTACATATCCGTTCTCTGGTGAAAATTCAACTGGTGGCTGCCGTGAGCCCCAGGGGACTGAGGACTGGGGAAAAGCGGGGCCGTGAAAGGTGCCTGGGCGGGGGACCCTCCTCGTCTCTTTCTACCTGCTTGGCTTTTGGTACCGCGAGCGAGTGCTTCCCCACCCAAACCTGGCACGGGCTGGGAACAGACACGCGTGTGGAGCCCAGCAGCAACAGAGGTGCCCGGTGAGGCTGGCCTGCCCCCAGATCTGGTTTTGGATGGAATGTGGGGATATGCTGGAGTTACGGGAGGAGAGGAACAACCCAATTCCTGGGCCTGCTTTGGAGAACAACTGGGCGGGGGGGGGGCGGCGTCTGTGCCTAAGAAGCTGGGGTTGCCAACCTCACAGCAGTTGTGGCCATCTTTCTGATTCCGCCCGGAGAGAGAGGCGGCCAGCCGGGGAACCAGAGGTGGGAGTTCCTGCATGTCATGGAGAAGGGCTCTCCCTCTGAGCCAGGGGGCCTCTTTTCGTTCTGCAGGTAGGGCAGAAGGCCTCACCTGAGACAAGGTGCGCCAGGCCCAGCCAGGTTCAGCCCAAAAATGTAGGGAGGAGGAGACGTTGGAGCAAAGTCTGACTCCCTCTCTCTCTCTCTCCTAAGCCATCACCACTGGGAGGTCTAGGCTGGCTCTGGCCCTATAGCTTCCCATGGAAAGCACTGCTCAAAACACACACACACAGGCATGCACGCGTGCACACACGCATCCTGTTTGGGCCAGTCAGCAGTTCTCTTGGGCTTGCTCACGGATCCAGGAGCCCTTCCTGTTCCTGGCAACACAAACGCTCCCTGCAACTCCTCCTCCTCCTCGCAGGGGAATCTGCATCCTATCTGCCCCGGAGGCTCATTCAACCAACAACAGAAACGGGCGCTCTGGTTTCCAAGGCTCCCTGGCAAGGAAAATAAAAAAGCTCCCTGGAGGGGAGGCCTTCCTGGAGTCGGCGTGGCCTGAGCCCAGTGCCTGCAGAGATGGGGACAGCATCAGGCTGGCCTCCTCCTCCTCCTCCTCCTCCTCCTCCTTGTAGAGGTGGGGTCAGCACGGGGATTTCAGGGAAGAACATCTGGCCCTCCAGCGCCTGCTCCCAGCCAGGAGAGGAGGGGAGAGTATCTCCAGTCCAGCAACGTCCTCTGAGCTCCCAAGGAAGACGGGAAGAGAAGACAGCTGAGGATAAGGGGGGGGCCGTGGGGCCTCCTCTTTGCTGCTCAGGCCCCACCAGCAGAACAGGGTCCAATCCTGCTTTTCAGCCAGATGCCCGAGGCCGACTTCTGAGCTGCCCCCTCCCTGCTGGAGACATGATGGCCCTCCCATGCAACGCCGGGCAGGCGGTGGGTCTCCAGACTCAGCAGGGCCAATGTTGAGACTGTCACACCACACCAGGCGCGCGGTTGTTCTAGGGACCCACCAAGGAGAGAAAGGGAGGAGGAAGGAAGGGGGAGAGGGGACCCGTTTGCCAGCTCCTCCTGCCTGGCAGAGGCCAGCCCAGAAGGAAGCGACAGGGCCCACGCACAGAAGGACCACCATGACCAAACCTTTCCGTTTCACATCCAGTACGTAGCTCTCCCTTTCTGGTCTCTTGGCCGCCCTGGCAGGGGAACGGGGGGGGGCAGCCATCCCCAGTGGGCACCGCTGGAACACGGAGGCTGAAAGAGCTCCTTGCCTGCATCATGTCCGAAGGAGGGCCACCCAAGACAAAAGGCAGAAGCTGCTTCCCTGACCATCTGCGGAGCCTCCGGGATCAGGGAGCCATCCCCTCCCTCGCCCCACAAGGGCAACCAGCATTTCCGGCTTGGCTGAGCCGCCTGGCCAGCGGTGGGCCATCGCTCTCAGACAGGCCGTTCGGCCGAGGAAGCCCCAAGGACCCCGGACACGACAAGCCCCAACTGGGTTCACATACAAACATGGATGGGGAGGCTGCGTGTGTGCGGAAGCTGGCGCAAGACGATATTCCTCCCTCCCTCCCTCCGTGCATCCCACATATTCTCAGCTGCCTTTCACTGCCCAAGCCTTACTGTGATTGTTTTCAATGTATTATTCCATATATCAGAATAAAATGCAGCATCACATTTAGACAATCACCTGGCAGATCGGCTTGGATTTGTGTTCCTGCCTTGAGAAGAGGGGGTTGGACTGGATGGCCTTGTAGGACCCCTTGCCACTTCACTTTTCTAGGATTCTATAGCTCAGCTGCCTTTCACTGCCCAAGCCTTACTGTGATTGTTTTCAATGTATTATTCCATATATCAGAATAAAATGCAGCATCACATTTAGACAATCACCTGGCAGATCGGCTTGGATTTGTGTTCCTGCCTTGAGAAGAGGGGGTTGGACTGGATGGCCTTGTAGGCCCCCTTCCCACTTCACTTTTCTAGGATTCTATAAAACAGTCTCACATTTCAATACCTCAAAAACATGCCTTTTAAAATAATATACAGTACAAATACACCTTCAAAATACAGCAGCATCGCACAAAGTAGTAATAAATAACAACTTAAAAGTACAGAAAGCACAACCATGGCAAAGTGCCACACATTAAGGTAAGACATTAGAAGAATATGGAAGTGAAATTGGAGGGGGGCACCTTCCTTCTTTCCCCCAATTAAAATCAATCAATTTGCAATCCAAAAATCAATCAATTTGCAAACATGGAATCTCACCCAGAGATTTTGCAGGACGTGATTCCTAGTTTTTTTGCACTCT